ATTTTTTAAGCTCTTCACATGTCTTCTAAGAACTTCCCTAAACAACCCTACAATTTAAAGTTTTGCCTTTTGTCACCATCTAAGTACCAGAAAGTTCTTTTCTAACCTAATGCGAAAACATGTAGAAATGAAATGTACTGGACTGGGCAAACAGAAATAAAAATAGTAAAAAGCACTCCAGTTCCTCGAGTTCACCACCAACCAACGAACACTTCAGAGTGTGGTCCACAAAACCCTGGGGTCGCCATGACTTCTTCAGCTTCCATGAAGTCGCAAGTATTTTTATCCTACTACTAAGATGTCATCTGAACTTTTCATCCTCAGATTCTCATGAAGGTACAGTGACATTTTCCAGAGGCCACATAAGGTGTAATGTCACTGCTCTGATAATCAGCACAAGTTGTGGTTGTGTATTCTTCTGTTTCGTAGACTTTCCTAAGGTAGTAAGCTTAGGGCATAAATATTTTTTTCAGAGATTAACTCAGTTTGCTCTTGGTACCTCTATGGTCTTACTAGCTATTGATGATATATACTATAATGCAACATACAGGAGAATGCGACCAAAAAAACTAACATTGATTTTATAAATTTAAAATAGTACCATCGTTATGAAACCTTTTTAGAAAATATATTTTTCATAAAAATTGTCATATTACTATAGAAGGGGCTTATTATTTTTAAAGAAATGAATTTTTTATATATTCTACACAAATAAAGGTTCTTCAGAGTCCTCAATATTTCAAAGCGTAAAGACCAAAAAGTTTGAGAACACCACTCTAGAATATAGGAGGGGTTTTTTTAAACTGTGTTTTGTTTTGTTTTGTTTTGTTTTTTTCCAGATAACTATAGATATCACAGGAAGTTGTAAAGACACTGCCCTTCACCCACTGGTCCCAATGGTTACATCTCACCTAACAATGGCAGAATACAAAACCAGAAAACTCATGCTGGCACAGTGCACGTGAATGCCGTTCTATCACGTGTGCACACATTCTTGTGAACACCAGCACAGTCAAGATGCACAACTATTTCTTGACTAATGATCACCGACCATCATGCTGCTCCCTATGGTCACCTCCACTCCCCTCAGCCCCTCCATCGCCGACACCTGACAACCACCAATGTGGTCTCCACGTCTAAAATCTTATTTCGGAAATGCCGTACAGATGTAATCATACAGCGTGTGGCCTCTTGAGATTCTCTTGTCACTCAGCGTAATGTCCCCAGGACCTAAGCTGTTACGTGTGTCAGTGGTTTGTTCCTTTTTATTGACTAGCAGCCTGTGATATGGATGTGTCACAGTTTAACTGTTCATCTATTTTAAGACATTTTGCTTGTTTCCAGTTTTTGGCTATTACCTAGAAATAAAGCTTCCATGAACTGTGCATAGGTTTTTGTGTGGACATAAGTTTCCATTTCTCTAGGAATAATGCTCAGGAGTAGGATTGCTGGGTCATGTAGTAACTGTTGTTTCCTTTTCAAGAAACTGCTACAGTATTTTTTATAGTGGCTGCGGCATTTTTACCCCCACTGGCAATGTAGAAGATCCAGTTTCTCCACATCCTCATCTGCATTTGGTATTGTTACCATTTACCGTGTTTATTTTAGCTTTGGATAACCGTGTAGTGGCATCTTGCTGTGGTTCTAATATTCATTTTCCTAGTAGCCACAAAGTCAATGATGATCATCTTTTCACCTGCTATTTGACATGTGTATCCTTTCTAGGAAAATGGCTCTACGTCTGTTGCCACCTTCTGATTGAAGTTTTTCTAATGTGAGTTTTGACAGCTATTTATTAAATATAAGTCATTTGTTAAACTTGTAATTTGCAAACATTTTCTCCCAGTCTGTAATTTGTATTTTATCCACTTACCTGGGTCTTTTATGGGCAGAATTTTTAAATTTTGATGGGATTCAAGAGATCAAAGTTTCCATGACTGTGATCTTGTGTCATCTAAGGAGTCTTTCCCTGGTCTTAGGTCCCCAGGCTTTTCTCTTATATATTAAGAAAGTTTTATACCTTTATGTTTAGCTGTTATGTCCACAGTAATTTTCGTATAAGGCATTTAGGTCATGGTTCACTTTTTGCCCTTTGGATATCCCATTGCTCTCGCACCACGTTAAAAAAAAAAAAAACAAAAACTATGCTTTTTCCACTGAATGGCTGTTGCACCTTTGTCAAAAAATCAGTCAGCCATAATTGTTTAGGGGTACTTCTGTGTGCTCTATTCATTTTTTTATTTGAAAGTAAGAGAGAGAGAGCGAGGGAGAGAGGGGCAGAAGGAATGAGGGAGAGGGAGAGAGAGGAGATAGGGGGTTGGGGGAGAGGGAGGGAGGGGGGAGGGAGGACGGAGAGGGGGAGGGGAGGGGGAGAGAGGGAGAGAGAGAGAATGAATCCCAAGCAGGCTCCATGCTCAGTGCAGGGTCTGACACAGGGCTCAGTCCCTCGAATGGTGAGTTCATGACCTGAGCCAATATTAAGAGTTGGACGGGCATTTAACCAAATGAGCCGCCCAGGTGCCCTGTATTTTCACATTTTAGAATAATCTTGTCTACATTTATAAAAAACGTTTTTGAATTTTGGAAGGAATGCCATTAAACTTACAGATCAATTTGGGGAAAACGGACATTGTTACTATTTTGAGTCTTCAAATTCATGAACATGTATGTCTCTCCATTTATTCTGGTCTTCTCTCTTTCATCACCTATCTTATAATTTTCAGTCTATAGATCCTACACGTTTTGCTACATTTTTGTTTTTGCAATTATTTTTCATAGATTTATACATTTTACATTATTTACATGTATTTTTATGTATCTCATCTTCTCTGGAGCATCTAATTTTGTCTCAGAGCACACTGGCTTCATAAAATGAGTTGAGAGGTCTTCCCTTCTCTTTTTTTGGGAAGTGTTTAAATTGGGTTCTGTAAAGGTTTGGTAGAATTCTCCAGTGGAACCACTTGGGCCTAAATATTTCTTTTATGTTAGTTTTCAAATTGTGAATTCAGAACTTTCAGTGGTTATAGGACTATTCTGTTTATTTCATCTTAGTTGAGTTTGGTAGTGTGTGCTTTTTTGAGGAATTAATCCATTTCTTCCAAACTGTTAAAGTTATGAGCATTAAGTTACTTGCAATATTCCTTTCTTTAAGAAGTTTATTTATTTTGAGAGAAAGAGCGTGTGCACACACGTGTGAGGGGCAGAGGGGAGAGCGAGAATCCCATTGTGGTGCTCGACCTCATGAACTGCGAGATTACAACCTGAGCCAAGATCAAGAGTCAGATGCTCAACTGAGTCACCTAGGTGCCCCATTCCCTTTTTAAAATGGACTTAGAATGTGTAGTGACATCTCCAGTTACATTCTTTATATGGGTGATTTATATCTTCTATCTTTGCCTGTATTGCTAGCCAGTCTTACTAAAATTTTGTCAATTTAATTGAATTTCTTCATGGATTTTCTTTACTGTTTCCCTGTTTTCAATCTCATTGATTTCCACTCCTTGTCATTCATCTTCTTTCTATTTGCTTTAGGTTTATGTTGCTAGGCTTCTAAATTACAAATTCAACTTCTTGAATGGTTATGTAGGACAATTCTGATTATTTCGTGTTTGCTGAGTTGTACTTTTGTGTTATTGAGACCTCTCTTCTCTTCTAATGTAAGCATTAGTGCTATCAATATTCTACTCAACACTTCTTTAGTAGCTGCATTCCACGGTTTGATCTACTGTATTTTCATTCGTCTCCAAGTATTTTTAAAATTTCTAATGGGATTTCCTTTTTGAGCTGTAGAATATTTAGAAATGTGTTGTTGAATTTCTAAGTGTTTGGACCATTTTGCTGCTGTTGTTGTCTTTGTTATTGATGTCTAGTTGGTTTCATTTATGGTCAGAGAATATACTTTGTGTGATTTCAATGGTTTTAAAATTGGTTAGGCTTACTTTATAACTCAAGAAATAATCTTTGTGATTCTTCCATTGGTACTTGAAAAAAATGTGTATTCTGATACTGTTGGTGGAGCCTTCTATATGCCAATTAGATCTTGTTGGCTGGTATGTAATTCTTTAGTTCCAAACTATTCCAACTGCCTCACCATCAGATGAAAACTCTAAATTAAGGGAGATAAAACTGTGGCAAAGTGGGTAAGCCAAAACTATGACCTGAGTCCTGAATTCCTGAATGACAAACTATACTTATGTAAAGGATAGGGAACATACTAAATTCTTTTTTTTTTTAATGTTTATTTTATTTTTGAGAGAGAGAGACAGAGTGTTGTGGGGGGGAGGGGAAGGGACAGAGAGAGAGGGAGACAGAATCTGAAGCAGGCTGGGCTCTGAGCTATCAGCACAGAGCCCAATGCAGGGCTTCAACTCACGGACTGTGAGATCATGACCTGAGCCAAAGTCAGATGCTTATTAACCAACTGAGCCACCCACGTGCCCCAGGAACACACTAAATCCTTAACCATTGCTTAATCAAACCTGTGCTGCTAAAATATGAGACTATAAGATCAGGGGATAAGAGCCGGTATACTACAAATAATTATTATCCAAATATATATAGTTTTGATTATTCCAAAATTAGCCCAGGTCAAACATGATCTACAAAGAAAATCTATTATAATGACATGCTTAACATACCGAGCTCAAGAACAGAAAAAGCATAAATAAATAAAAACACAATGTAAAGCTTATGAGTCTACAACTCCTTGGTACTCATTCAAACAACTTTCTACTCCAACCTCTCTGAGGTTATAATCCTCCCACAAAATCCCCGAGAAGTGCTCAAAACCTCCACTTCCAGGCACTTCTTTCAAAGCAACCAATTCTACTTTGTATAATAGTTATTCCTTGTAAGTGTGTTAATGGTAAAATGTGGAAGCTCCTAAAATTATCTTTGGAAACACATTTTTAGGCAGTGTGCACGGAAAAAGTCTGTTTCCCTTCAGGCCATTCACACACCTACCTAATCTAAACCACATCTGTCTCAAAATAAATACTTACGCAACACCAGCAATGTCTCCACCAGCCTTAGGGACGGTTTCCTGCCACTTGGTGTTACGTCCCACGCGGAGATGGCTAACTTGACTACATAAACTCTGGAGAAAAGGCAGCAAGTCAGAGTTAGGTATATTCGAGTTGTCACTTGCTTTCTTTGGTAGGAGAGAAGAAACCGCATTTTTCAGGTCA